GAAAGAGTGCTAGAAGAGGTTTCATTTCTATAGGTTGATTAGGGCTACATCTCTGCTAAGCTGCTAAAAAGTAAAAGGTAAAGGTTCCCTTGCTCGAAAGCCAGTCGAGTCCGACTCTAGGGTTGTGGTGCTCATCTCCGTTTCAAAGCCGAAGAGCCAGCGCTGTCCAAAGACGTTTCCGTGGTCATGTGGCCGGCATGACTAAACACCAAGGCGCACGGAACGCTGTTACCTTCCCACTGAAGTGGTACCTATTTATCTACTTGCAATTTCTTGCTTTCGAACTGCTAGGTTGGCAGGAGCTGGAACTAGAGACGGGAGCTCACTCCGTCATGCGGCACACTCGGGTCTTGAACTGCTGAACTACCGACCTTCCGCAGCCTGCAGTTCAGCGTCTTAACCACTTGAGCCACCGCAGCTGCTACATCTCTGCTAAACTGCTAAGCTGAAGCTGATCGGGTTTTCCCTGAATACCCTTGGGACTGGGGTCTTGAGAGGGGGATGAGAGCCAGTTTGGTGTAGTGGTTAGACTCTAATCTGGGAGAACCAAGTTTGATTCCCCACTCCTCCACATGCAGCTGCTGGTGTGACCTTGGGTTAGTCGTAAGTTCTTCCAGAGCTGTTCTCTCAAGGGCAATTCTCAAGAGAGTTCTCTCAGCCCCGCCTACCTCACAGGGTGTCCCTTGGGAGGAGAAGGGAAAGGAGATTGTAAGCCGCTCTGAGACTCCTTCGGGTAGTAAAGGGTGGCGTATAAATCCAATCTCTTCTTCTTCGGAGACCCTGGAGTCTCTTCCCTGAGCTACAATCCCTGGGCTTCCAGTTTTGGGTGCTCTAGTAGCCACGGAGGCTGCAGGCCAGCTCAGAGGCTGGCTCCATGGAAGATGACCATGGATCATGACCATGGGATCCTTTCCCAAACTCTGTTGCAATGTCTTGAGCTCAGCACTAAGGCACTTCTTTACCGTCTGGGAGCCAAGGCACCGACTGCCTTGCTGCAACCTGTCTAACTCAAATGAACACACAATGCATCATTATACTGCATCAGACCCTTGGTCCATCAAGGTCAGTATTGCCTACTCAGACTGGCAGTGGCTCTCCAGGGTCTCAGGCAGAGGCTTTTCACCTGAATACGCTGGGGACTGAACCTGGGACCTTCTGCTTGCCAAGTAGATGCTCTACCACTGCAATGTGGCCATTCCCCAGACACACAGGAGGTGGTGGATTTTGGCCTGGGGGGTGGGGTCTGTGTGCCCTTCCTGTTGCTGCCCACCTGTTCCCACTGACGTGGCACCTTCTGTGTTTCTCCCTTCTGTAGTCCATGCTGTAAAAAAGCAGCCCCTGCCGAAGCAGCGCTGGTGCCGGGTCACCTTCCCTTACACCCCGGTCAAGGAAGATGAGCTGGCATTGTGCCCCGGAGAGCTGGTGCAGATCTTGGAGGAGGTGAGGCAGGGCAGGGGTGGGGTGGGGTTAGCAAGTTCCTCCCCCAACTTCAGCTTGAATGACTGCATTGGAGACGGAGGCAGGAGTCGAGAGAGATGCACCCCATGGGGGCTTGGGTTGCCAACCCGGCCCAGGATCTTACCCTTATGACCTCCCCTTTGTGGCCTCCAAGAGTCGGTCTTTCTCACCAAGGGGCTCCGTGTTTGACCTGGGAAAGCTGGCTGTCCCACAGTTCACAACTCTCCCCACGAGACACAAAGCCTTCCGCAAATGGGAAGGCAACGTACCTGCCAAAATGGCTAACAGCCTCCTCCCCTAAAGTGCTCAGGGGCTCCTAAAGTGCCGTCAAGTTGCAGCCAACTTCCAGTGACCCCAACTCCGTAGGGTTTCCAAGGCACCTCTGCATAGTGCCCCTGCATTTCCTTGGTGGTCTCCCATCTAAGTCCTAAGTAGGGCCGACCCCGCTTCACTTCCGGGATCTGACAAGACTGGGCTAGCTGGGCCATTTGATCAGGGCCCCGGTCAGGTCACATGACTTCTGCACAGATGCTCCCCAACCCATTGTGGAGCGTGGCTCTTTCACTGGATGTGTTGCGACTGACACCCCCCGCCCCCCAGCAGGGAGTTAAGAAATTCATTGGGTCACTTCAGTCACTTTATGCCTCCATGTGTAGCCCCCAACTGTTCCGGGTGTTTTACCTTTCTACAAAGCGAGAAGGGTCTGGAGTATATCTCCATGGTCAGCTTCTCCAAAGAATCTTGGGAACTGTGGCTTTGGGGTGTGTGTGTGGGGGGGGGGGGGCTAAGCTCACACATTTTTGTCCTGGCTCAGGAAGGAGGGCTCCAGAGCAAACTAATTTATGCAGCAGCCACATCACTCACTCACAACTTTAATGCCAGTCGCTCACAAAGTAGAATTTTTGCTCACAAGACTCCGCAGCTTCGAGGGAGTATTGGTCCTAAGCCCTGTTAGGTTGCCCCAGAATCAGCTGTAGGACTCTGCAAGGGCTGTCTGCCTGTCTTTCTCTCCTTTGCAGATTGAGGATGGCTGGTGGCTGGGCAAGAAGAGCGGGCAGCTGGGGGCCTTCCCCTCCAACTTCGTGCAAGAACTGGGCAGCCAACCGCCAGGTGGGGCCTGGAGATCTCCCAGAATTACAACAGATCTCCAGGCTACAGAAAACGGTTTCCTGAGGGGAAAAATGGCTGCTTTGGAGGGTGGGCCCTAGAGCACTGTACCTTGCCTGAGGCTCCTCCTCTCCCAAAGTCCACCTGCAAATCTCCAGGAAATTCCCAACCCAGAGTTGGCAACCCTATGGGCTAGGCTGGGCTGGGAGGGGTCATACATTGAGGGGTGTCATTGCTCCAGGTGGGCCCCTTGGGGGAAGAGCAAAATGGAGAGGGAGGGCATATGGTGTGATGTTGAAGCTGTGGGGGCAGGGCTTCGCTCCCCCCCCCCCCCCCCGCTAACTTTCTCTCTTCCTCCCCCCAACTTGGTCAACAGCAGAGCCAATTTTCCCAGAGCCCAAACTGGGGGCAGCAAAACAACGGCCCAAAGTGACAGATGAGACATTCATGCTGACCGAGGAGGCTGAGGCCGGGAAGGTGAGCGGAGGTGGGAGCAGGCTGGCCTTGGGGGTAAGAGAGGGAAAGGAAAGGCTGGTTCAGGTCCCCCAGCGCCTGGTTTGCAGCACTAGGTGGCATCTGTGCAGATTTGCTGCCCTCTGCAGGGCAGACTGGTTCCTGCATGCTCTGCTGTCTATTACAGGCCATCAAGTCACTTCCGATTCCGATTTACAGATTTAATGGCCCCCCGATAAAGTCTTATCAGCCTTGCTCAGGCCTTGCAAGCTGAAGGCTGTGGCTTTCTTTATAGAGCCAATCCGTCTCATGTTGGGTCTTCTTTTCCTGCTCCTGCCATCAGTCTTTCCTAGAATGAGTCTCTTTCCCAGTGTGTCTTGCCTTCTCATTATGTGACCCAAATATTTATTTTATATTTTATTTATTTTTGGCTTTATATCCTGCCCTTCCAAATGGCTCAGGGCGGCTAACATACGGCTAGTGCCAGATTAAATGGATAAAATACAATAAAACAGCGTTGAACAACCACAATAAAAGCCCGTAACAATATTTAAGGTGCTCTGATGTTATCCTGTATATAGATCCCCGAGATGGGAACAATAATCCCAATTCGACGGCCAGCTGCATTAAGTAGCGAGGTCTCCAGCGACGGTGTTCTACACGCTTCCGCCAGGCGATGCATAACCCCCATAATAGGGGTGAATGATGGAACAGTACCACAGTGGCGGAATAGTGGCGGCGGCAGCTCCTACTCAAAAGCCTGGCGGAAGAGCTCCGTCTTGCAGGCCCTGCGAAACTGCACAAGGTCCCGCAGGGCCTGGTTCTCCTCCGGGAGCTCGTTCCACCAGGTAGGAGCCGCCACAGAAAACGCCCTGGCCCTAGTAGGGGCAAACTTAACGTCTCGGGGGCCTGGAACTTCCAGGAGGTGGAGACTCCCCGATCGTAGTGCTCTTGAGGGAACATATGGGGAGAGGCGGTCCCTCAGGTAAGCCAGACCCCGGCCATTCAGAGCTTTAAAGGTAAGAACCAGCACTTTGAAGCGAATCCGGTATGCTATCGGCAGCCAGTGTAGCTCTTGCAGCGCAGGCCGGATGTGGTCTCGCCTCGAGAGGCCCATCAACAGCCTGGCTGCAGCATTCTGCACTAGCTGCAGCTTCCAGATTTGCGACAGAGGCAGCCCCAAGTAGAGAGTGTTACAGTAGTCTAACCTTGAGGTGACTATTGCATGGATCACAGTGGCCAGGTCCTCACGGTCAAGGTAGGGGACCAACTGCCGAGCCAGCCGCAGGTGGTAAAAGTCCGACTTGGCAGTGGCTGCCACCTGGGCCTCCACCGTTAATGAGGAGTCCAGGAGCACTCCCAAACTCCTAACCTCCTGCGCAGGCACCAAAGGCGCCCCGTCGAAGGCCGGGAGAGGGAGCCCCAGACCGGTCCGACTCAGGCCCAGGACCTCCGTCGAAGGCCGGGTTTAATTCCAACCAACTCAGTCTGAGCCAACCAGCCACAGCTTGTAATGCCCGATAAAGGTCATCGGGACTGGAGTCCGACTGGCAGCCCAACATCAGATAGAGCTGGGCAGTATCAGCATATTGATTACACCCAAGCCCACACCTCCGGGCAATCTGGGCGAGGGGGCGCATATAGATGTTGAACAACATAGGGGACAACACAGCTCCCTGGGGCACCCCGCACTCAAGGGGGTGCCTTCGGGACCGCTGGTCCCCTATCGCCACCCTCTGTCCCCGACCTTGCAGAAAAGAGGCGAACCATTGAAGAGCAAGTCCCTGAATCCCCACGTCGGCGAGACGGTGGGCCAGCAACTGGTGGTCGACCATATCAAACGCAGTCGACAGATCTAGCAACACCAGTGCCGCCATGCCACCTCGATCCAGATGCCTACTGAGATAGTCAGTCAGAGCGACCAGCACCGTCTCTGTCCTGTGGCCCAGGCGAAAGCCGGACTGGAAGGGATCGAGGACGGAAGCCTCATCCAGATAGCCCTGTAGCTATGACGCCACCGCCCTCTCGATAAGTTTGCCCAAATAGGGCAAATTGGAAACCGGCCGATAGTTGGCCAATTTGGCCGGGTCCAAAGATCGTTTTTTTCAAGAGAGGACGGACCACTGCTTCCTTGAGTGCTCCGGGGAAACGTCCCTCAACCGTCCCTCAAATATGATAGCTTCAGTTTAGTCATGTTTAGCTTCTAGGGTGGCTTTGGGCTTGATTTGCTCTAGAACCCACTTATACCTTTCTGGTGGTCTATGGTACTCTTAAACCTCTCCTCCGACACCATATTTCAAATGACGGTTGTCTCTGGCATCCTTCATTGGAATGTCCGGATTAACATGGTTAACCTTCTTGTCTCTTCCTTCCTGCGCTGCCTGGTTCTCACTGCAGCCAGAGATGGTGATGGAGAAGCCTGTTCCTGTGATCCCAAAGGCCCAGATGCCACAAACCTGTGAGTGAGGGCCAGAAACTCCCTGTATGCTGTTGGGGGGCTGACTTTGTTCAGGGGACCATTGGTTTTGGGTGGGTTGGAAGAAGGAACCGAGGCAGCACTCCCTTTACAGCACTCCAGTTACTGTACCAAGGCCTATTCTTGGGCTGTACCCTAGGGGAAGAAAGAGGGTGGGTACAAAGTCCAATTGTGTGGGTGTAAAGTGCTGTCAGAGGAGCTGCAGTGGCTCAAGTGGTTAAGACGCTGAACTGCAGGCTGTGGAAGGTCGGTAGTTCAACAGTTCGAGACCCGAGTGTGCTGCATGACGGAGTGAGCTCCCGTCTCTAGTTCCAGCTCCTGCCAACCTAGGAGTTCGAAAGCAAGAAATTGCAAGTAGATAAATAGGTACCACTTCGGTGGGAAGGAAACAGCGTTCCGTGCACCTTGGTGTTTAGTCATGCCGGCCACATGACCACGGAAACGTCTTCGGACAGCGCTGGCTCTTCACCTTTGAAACGGAGATGAGCCCTGCAACCCTAGAGTCGGATTCGACTGGCTTTCGAGCAAGGAATCCTTTACCTTTAAAGTGCTGTCAAGTCACAGCTGATTTATGGCAACCCTGTAGGGCTTTCAAGGCAAGAGATGAGCAGAGGTGGTTTGCCGTTGCCTGCCTCCGCATCACAGCTCCCTTTGTGGTCTCCCGTCCAGTACTAAGTGGGACGGATCCAGCTTAGCTCCTAAGATCTGTTGAGATCGGTTTTGCCTGGGGCATCCCAAGTCAGGGCGGAGTCATATTGGGGGGGTGCTGTGCCTGGAATCTGCAGGGGATAGCGGTTTGCAAACAGTTGGGAAGGGGTAGCTATCCATAGGCTTGTATGTGGTATGAGACTCTTGGGTCTGGGTGGAGATCACTCACTGCTGTGAATTCCCGAGAAGCCTTTCGGAGTCTGGCAGGTGTGGGTGGCGATGCTCCCTCTGGTTTCTTCCAGCTGCAGGTGACTCGCCTCAGTATTGCCGAGTCATGTTTGATTATGAGCCGGCGCACGAAGATGAGCTGCCGCTCCGGAAGGGTGACTTGGTTCTCTTGCTGAACAAGGTGAGAGTTGGCCGGGGTGTGTGTGTGCTGGGAAAGGGTGGCCAGGGGGCTTCATTAGGGCGGTACAAGCCCCCCATGAAGCCCAAGAGCTGCATCCCAGCTCAGAGTTTCAAGAACACTTAAGGGGGAAACATCGGATGTAGGAAACAGCTCTTCCCATCCAGGGGAAGATAGACCCCCCCTCCCATTACTTAGTAAAAGGATCAGTCATATTTTAAAAAAGCGAATCAAGCCAGTTAGAAATCTTCTTAGTAGTGCGACACTTTCCACGTGCCTAGCGTGTCTTCCTTCTGGAGGTCCAGTCCTGGATCCTTCAGTGTCTGGTGTGGTTCAGCTCTTAAGACTTGAGGTTTGCAGGTGGTAATAGAGGTGGACAAAACATTTGCAGTGGACCAGGGAAGGGTATGTGTGCGTGCACGTGTGGGCATGCACATCCATTTGTCTGGGAGGAGAATCTAGCTTCCAGGTCAGTGTTAAGAAAGCCCTTCACCCTGGAGTACCAGTCAGTCCCTAGCGATGTACCCTGGTTGATCCTGTGCTGCGGTATGGGAAAGGAGATGACAGGCCCTTGGCAGACCTTTCCAGGAAGGCACTGGTCCCAGCTTGGCCGGAGATAACAATTTCCCTGTCTCTCTTGCAGGACACACTGGATGTGGGCTGGTGGGAAGGGCAGATCCACGGCAAGAGGGGTCTCTTCCCTGACAACTTTGTCATGCCTTTGACCCAAGTGCCACCTGGGGTGAGATGGCTGTTCTGTCTTTGGGGGTGGGGGGGACAGGTCAGAGCAAGTGGGCTCTTTGCCGCACAGGGGGATATAAGGACTGCTTGAGATTTGTGGTCTGCAAAGCGTTCAAAGGCCACTTGCTAGGTAGGTGGCCAAGTCCCACCTCCCATAGAGGCTCCTCAACACCTCAGAGTGCCGAGGGTGGCAGGAAGGCAGGGAGGGACCTCTCTCCTGTGGTGTGATGCTTCCCAAGTCACCCTTGAGGGCCACGCCTGGCACTGCAGAAGGCAGTTCTATGTTGACGGAGGTTCCCTCCCTCCACTGATTTGGGATGGCTGAGCTCCATTGCCACTTTCTAGACTGTGCAGAAGTGTCCTGTGTTGCTGTTCAGGGTCCTTCAGCAGCCCCCTTCCTTTTGGTCACTTGGCTCTTGTCTTTCTGTAGATCAAATCCCAAGTGCCAGCCAGGATCAAAGACTCTGGTGAGTAGCAGGCTGGCTTGTCTCGGGCAGCTGATATTCGAACTTGCAACTCAAGTCCTCCAGGGTCATGGCTAGGATTAACAGCTCTGGGTTGGGAAACTCCTGGAGATTGGGGGGGGGGGGAGCCTGGGGTGGAGCGAGACCTCAGTGGGGTATAATGCCACAGAGTCCACCCTCCAAAGCATCTATTTTCTCCAGGGGAACTAGGAGTCAGCCTTAGATTGGACATGAACTTGGTCCCCGGTTTCATATTTGTGGGGTGGGAAGAGAGCGGGACAAAATATTTGCAATGGACCAGGGAAGGGATTTTGTTGGTTTGTTTGTGGGCCTGTTCTTCAGGTTAACCGAGGAAGAGGCCTCTGAGTGTCTCCCTCAAACTATCTCAAATCTCTTTTTAAATATCACTTTTAAAGCCACCAAGTCAGCCAAGAAGTCCTTCCAAGGCAACAAAGTGGACTTAAGACACCTTGGAGACCACAAAGGTGAGTCTGGGCTTCATGCAAGAGGGGAAAGTGTCAAGTTGCCAACTCCGGATTGGGAAAGACCTGGAGATTTTGGGGGCAGAGCCTGAGAAGGGTGGGGGTTGGGGACGGATGGGATCAATGTTCCCTCTAAGCTGTGGAGTCTTGTGAGCAAAAGTTCTACTTTGTGAGCTACTGGCATTAAAGTTGTGAGTGAGCGATTTGGCTACTGCATAAATTAGTTTGCTCTGGAGCCATCCTTCCTGAGCGAAGGCAAAAATGTGTGAGCTGGAGGCTAAAAAACTGTGAGCTAGCTCACACTAACTCAGCTTAGAGGGAACACTGGATGGGATGGGACTTCAATTGGGCAGAATGCCATAGAGTGCACCTTCCAAAGTGGTCATTTTCACCTGGTGAATTTATCTGTCTCCTGGAGGATCACTTGTAATCCCATATCTCCAGCTGCCACCAGGAGGCTGGCAACCATGGAAAGTGCCTTTTGCCTTCTGCAGACTTGGGGAGGCCTTTGCCCAGCAATAGCCTTTGCACCTTCTCACTACTGTGGGTTGGTGTATGTTTACCTGTGTGTTGCCGAGAACAATTGCCTCTATGGAAAATGGAACTGAGGCCCTGGCTCCAAGTTATGAGCAGATTGCAATCTCCCTTCAGGAAGGGTCGGACTTGAGGGGCAATCCCCTCCCGGGGTGCAGGAGTCTGCATTCAGCCGGTTTCTGATTTATTCTGTGCCCTCTTTAAGAAAGGGTGCAAAACGTGGGCTCACAAGGTAGCTCTGAGTGTGCTGCTGTATCAGACAAGGAAGCCCACCTTTCCAATTTTATCCTTGGTATAACCCTGCAACGGACTCCAGAGCACTTGGAACATAAAGTCCAATCTGGAGGGGGGGGGGGACGACACACACACATATGGTTGCAGCTGCTGTTCTCTCCTGCAGATGGTTCTGCATTGTCTGTTCCTATCTTGCAGACGCAAAGGAGCAGAAGAAGACAGATGCGCCCAAGTCGAATCCTCCTGTGAAGAAGGTGCCACCTCCCCTTCCTGTATCTGCAAAGGCCAGACCAGTCCCTCCTGTGCCCCAGAAGTAAGATCTGAGCATACGTAGCTGCCAGATGCCTTGAGCCAGGGCACTGGTCTGCTGAGGTATTGTCCACTCTGACTGGAAGCAGCTCTGCCAGTCCATCAGGCATTAGAGGCCTTTCGCAGATCTGCTCTCTGTTCTCCTGAACCTGGCATCCTCTGCGTGCAAAGAGGGTGCTCTACCACTAAGCACTCTGGGGCTTGGAGGGCATTTGTGTCCCTCCTTTCCTTATTTATTTATTTAACAAATTGGTCTTGTATTCTGCCCTCCCTGCAAGCAGGCTCAGGGTGGATTCCATCAGTCTCAATACAATACGCAATACAATTTAAAAACAATTTAAAACAACAATACAAAACAACATAGGTTCTAAAGTGCTGTGTATAATTTAGCAGTAGATGGTTCTTGTATTGTGTACAGTCGCCCGACGTATAAAAGCGGGGGGGGGGGGGGGGGGGGGCGGCGTCTGCTGCCTCAGTCAAAAGCCTGGCTCCGTCTTACAGGCCCTGTGGAATTGTAATAAATCCCGCAGGGCCCTGATCTCAGTTGGGAGCTCATTCCACCAGGTAGGGGCCATTTTGTGCTTCCTCTGACACACACCCCCCACCACACACGCAAGCATTGCCTATGCCTGAGACGGAATGAAGATATCATGGACTTTTCCACTTCCAGCTGCAGCTGGGGACCGCACCATCCTTTTAAAATAATGCTTCTCTTGTATTTTTTTAAAAGCTCGGCATAGAATGTTTCTTCATGCTGGTTTTTTTCCTGCAGGGAATTTTTTACATGAGGCGGCATTAAAGATGTCACACATGCTCTGCTTGCAATTGGGAATGGTATATTCCACTCCCCCCCCTTCTGGATTCTTCCACTTTGTTTTGCTGCATATGTCGACTATGTAGCAGCAGGTTAAGAGTGCCACTGAGCATGTGCAGTCAGGTTCGTAGCCAGGATTTTTTGTTTGGGGGTGTGACGACCCCTTAACTGGGGAGGTCTGGTTTTACTTTAAAAGTGTTCTTTATGTTTGGTTCTACTTGATATATCCGGCTGCCACCAGGAAATTTAAGGCTTTCCAAACCTTTTATACTTTACTTTAGCTATTACTGTTGTTGGTAGACCAAGGTCAAAGCTTACGAGGAGCTAATGTGGTTCTGAGAAAGTATTTCTTTCAGAGCGGGTATATTTGAATAAAAGAGGATGTATTGAAGTAATTCATATATAAAAGATTAAATCATTGTAACCAGGAAGGCTTAAATACTGAACAAATGCTTGGTGTATCACACAATCTTCTCCCTTACTGTCAGGGATTTTTCAAGTAACTTTGTAACACTTTACTCAAGGTCTTATAAGTTCCCTGTTTCTCCAGTCTGTCACTCAGACTTTCTTATAACTTTTCTTCTTCTCTGAACAACATCAACAGACAGCTTAACTGTTTTCACACAGAACTGCTTCTCACTTCTTTCATACACAGAGCTTAACTGAACTCCTGCTTCTCTCACAGAACTCAGAACTTAACTGACTGTTTAACTGTCCTCATCAACTGTCACCCTACAGCTGTCAAAACCTCAAACTGTCACTCCTGATAGACATACATATTCATCCACACAGCATCACTTCCAAAACCCCTCCCCCTCTGTCACTCACCAATCACACCACACTTGCCTCTTCAAGCACTCTAGACTATCACATGCAACCAAACTTTTAAAGAGACACACACCCATAAACAAGGAATCGTTACAGGGGGGCATTTAAATGTTTAAGGGAGCAGTTAAATTACAGTTAATTGAATTAATCTGAATGCCTGTCTTTAAAGGGGGGTTAGGAAAGACACAAATAGGTATAGAAAAAAGCCTGCATTGCTAACTAACAAAGTAATGGAAGCTGTAAAAGGTAAGAAGGATTCCTTTAAGCGGGGGAAAGCTAGTCTCAGTGAGGTTGATAAAAGGGAACACAGGCTGTGGCAAATAAAATGTAAGTCTGTGATCAGGCAGGCAAAAAGGGAATATGTGGAGCATATAGCAAAAAATATAAAGACCAACAATAAAACTTTCTTCAAATACATTAAAAGCAAGAAACCAGCCAGGGAGGCAGTGGGGCCCTTGGATGACCAAGGGGTAAAAGGAGTACTGAAGGATGATAGGGAAATGGCTGAGAAGCTGAATGCATTTTTTGCCTCTGTCTTCACTGTGGAAGATGAGAAGTGCTTGCCCACTCCAGAACTGCTGATTTTGGGAGGGGTGTTGAAAGACCTGAGTCAGATTGAGGTGACGAGAGAGGAGGTCCTACGACTGATAGACAACTTAAAAACTGATAAATCACCAGGCCCGGATGGCATACATCCGAGAGTTCTAAAAGAACTTAAATATGAACTTGTGGATCTCCTGCCAAAAATATGTGATCTTTCATTAAAATCTGCCTCCATTCCTGAGGACTGGAAGGTAGCTAATGTCACTCCCATCTTTAAAAAGGGTTCCAGAGGAGATCCTGGAAATTACAGGCCAGTCAGTCTGGCACATTGATGAACAAAAACTATTGAGGCAGACTCAGCATGTGTTCTGTAAGGGAAGATCTTGTCTCACTAACCTGTTAGTTGTTTTTGAGGGATTGAACAAACATGTGGACAAGGGGGATCCAATAGCTGTTGTTTACCTTTACTTCCAGAAAGCTTTTGATAAAGTTCCTCATCAAAGGCTCCTAAGTAAGCTCAATAGTCATGGGATAAAAGGACAAGTCCTCTTGTGGATCAACAACTGGCTAATTAATAGGAAACAGAGAGTGAGTATAAATGGGAAATTTTCTCAGTGGAGGGTGGTAAGCAGTGGGGTACCGCAGGGATCAGTACTCGGTCCAATGCTTTTTAACTTCCTCATTAATGATTTGGAGTTGGGAGTAAGCAGTGAAGTGGCTAAATTTGCAGATGACACAAAGTTGTTCAGGGTGGTGAGAACCAGGGATAATTGTGAGGCACTCCAAAGGGATCTGTCGAGGATGGGCGAGTGGGCGTCAACATGGCAAATGGGGTTCAATGTGGCCAAGTGCAAAGTGATGCACATTGGAGCCAAAAATCCTAACTATAAATACATGTTGATGGGGTCCGAACTGGCAGAGACTGACCAAGAGAGAGATCTTGGAGTCGCAGTAGATAACTCAATGAAAATGTTGAGACAGTGTGCAACTGCAATAAAGAAGGCCAATGTTATGCTGGGGATTATTAGGAAGGGAATTGAAAACAAATCAGCTAGTATCATAATGCCCCTGTATAAATCAATGACCTCATCTGGAATACTGTGTGTCAGTTCTGGTCACCACACCTCAAAAAGGATATTATAGCATTGGAAAAAATGCAGAAAAGGGCAACTAGAATGATAAAAGTGTTGGAACAGTTTCCCTATGAAGAAAGGTTAAAGCGCTTGGGGCTCTTTAGCTTGGAGAAACAATGGCTGAGGGGTGACATGGTCAAGGTTTATAAGAGTATGCATGGGATAGAGCAGGCAGAGAAAGAAGTACTTTCTCCCTTTCTCACAATACAACAACTTGTGGGCACTCAATGAAATTGCTGAACAGTTGGGTTAGAACAGATAAAAGGAAGTACTTCTTTACCCAAAGAGTGATTAACACATGGAATTCACTGCCACAGGAGGTGGCGGCGGCTACAAGCATGGACAGCTTCAAGAGGGAATTAGATAAACATATGGAGCAGAAGTCCATCAGTGGCTATTAGCCACAAGGTATAGATAGGAACTCTCAGTCTGGGGCAAGTGATGCACTGTATTCTGGGGGGGGGGCAACAGTGGGAGGGCTTCTAGTGTCCTGGCCCCACTGGTGGACCTCCTGATGGCACCTGGTATTTTTGGTCACTGTGTGACAGAGTGTTGGACTGGATGGGCCATTGGCCTGATCCAACATTGGCTCCTCTTATGTACTTACATACCTCCTTGAGCCATTCCCTTTCCTGCAATTGCTATTGGTGCCCGTTTGTCATCTTTTAACCTTGATAATACCTGCTAAACTTTAATGCCAATGTTGCTGGCTGTCTTGCAGAGGCTGTTTGTAATGACCTGAGGTGTTTCAGGACTCGAAACGTGTATCCAGATTCCAGACTCTAAAATCACAGGCGGTCATAGAAGGGATTCAGAGAGGATATGTGACTTAGTGGTAGAGCATCTGCTTGGCATGCACAGGGTCCCGGGTTTGATCCACAGCATCTCCAGTTAAAAGATCTAGCAATAGGTGTTGTGAAAGACCTTGACTCTGGAGAACTGGTGCCTGTCTGAGTAGACAATATCGACTTGCATGGACCAAAGGTCTGATCATGATTCCAAGGGAAATTCAAAGGCTGCTTCTCCTGTTCTTTGTGGTGGGTTCTGATGGCCTGGATAGGGCCTGGGTGGGCACTCCAGACTATACAGACAGAAGAGAACAGTGGGCTGCAACAGCCACCGGCTGACTTGGAATGGGAGGATCAGGGCGTGTGTGTTTGGGGGGGGGGTCGTTTTTCTGTTGGCCATGGAAGTGGCTGAATGAATTCCTCCGTCCCTTCTTCTTTATGATTCTTGCAGATCCTCAAATATTCCCATTTCCTGCACGTCAACCCCTGGGGGGAAAGGCAAGCCTAATGAGGCAGGTAAGTGTTTGCTCCCCACTGCAGTATGGATGCCAGCCTCCAGGTGGGACCTGGGGACCCCCCAGAATTACAGCTCATCTCCAGACTACAGAGATCAGCTCCCCTGGAGAAAATGGATGCTCTGGAGGGTGGGCTCAGTGGCGTTGTACCCCACTGAGGTCTCTTTCCTCCCCAGGCTCCATTTTCAAATCTCCAGGAGTTTCCCAGTCTGGATCTAGCAACTCTAGCCCCCCATCCCCTGCCAGTGGCCAGGGGGGACAACCCTACCCTGCAGTGCGAGTCACAGGAGCCCCTGGCCCGGGAGTGGGCCGGCCATCTCCTGGGGCCACTTTCTGATGTGGGGGGGGGGAGGGGATGAGAGGAGGCTGTCCGGAGGCTCCTTTGCCAACAGCACCATGGCTGTGTCTCTTCCCAGAAACACCTCCTTTCGATGCCCTCCTTGTTCCCAGTGCCAAACTGAGCCACCCGACAGCTGACCGCCCCAAAATGCCAGGGAAGAGGCCTCCCAGCCAGCCGGCGGCAGGCTCAGCGGTAGGTACCCCTCGCTTTTGTGCCCTTAAACCACCCAAATGGCTCCAGTGGGCAGGATGTATAAGCCAGAGCCTGTGTGCTTCCTTCTGAGAATGCAGGAATGGCTGGGCAGGTGCTGAAGAAGATGATGGTTGTGGATTCTCTTTGCCTTCAGGAGGAGAAAGGTGGAATAAGCCCTCCAGCGAAAGCAAAGATCCTTGAGCGGGGGGGTGGGGAGGGCAGAAAGCACTACTGAGCACGGGGGAGGTGCTTTTAAACAGCTTTTTAATCAGGAGGCTGAAGTTGGTTCCTTATT